GCAAGTGAAAAGTAGAGGAAAAAACAAGAAAGGGGGGGGGGGGCAGAAGACGGATGATTGTTGGTTCCTATCTCCTTAGTCCGACAGCCCCCTTAGTAATGGGTACTCACCGGGTTACGGTGGATATGCGCAGATATCAGGGGCTTGATGATATGGTACCCGATCCCGTCCTTCCTTCAGGTATATTCTTCCCGTGTTAGAGTCGGGCAGTAGGAGAGATGTTTTCCGGCTGCAGTGCTGGAGCTGTCTTTCAGACCTAGGGACCGCTTAGCCTGAGCGTAGTACTAACGAACTTTCTCTACCGGAATCAACAGGGTTATGAGGATTTAAAAGCAAAAAGACCTCATGGTGCAGTATGTAAAAACAGTATAAATTTTATTAAAAATAGTAGCTTACATCTGGAAGTGTAAAAACCGGCCGGCACAGATCGATCTAAGAGGACTCCTCGTGTGCAGTTGTATCTACCTTTTTGACGCGTTTCGTCATGTGACTTTTTCAAAAAAAGGTAGATATGTATGCATATGTATGGCCATGGGAGGAGTTGTAGCATATATATATATACACACAGGTGGCCATGGAAGGTGGTACAGCTCCATATTATTGGCCATGGGAGGAGGGGTAACTCCATATTATTAGCCATGGACGAAGGTATAGCTTCATATTATTGGCCATAGAAGGAGGTGCAGCTCCATATGAATGGCCATTGGAGGAGGTGTAGCTTCATATTAGATGGCCATAGAACAGCCAAGGGAGGAGGTGCAACTCCAGTGTAATGCCCATGGTTTTAGAATGAGATGTTCACAAATCTCAGGTGTGATGTTCAGGTGTCCAGGAATGTTTGCCCATATAGTATATCAGTATAGAATGACCCGTTACAACAATGTAGCCTGGTCTTTAAGTGATCCTCCTTTATTGGCTAACTCAAGTTTTTAAAGATGCAAGCTTTCGGGATTACGTTGATCCCTTGGACAGGCTTTAAGCTTGTTAGCCAACAAAAAAGAGGATCATTTAAACGCCAAATGTTCTGCACTAATCAATGTCTGACACAGCAACATACTGTACAACATTGTGTATATATATATATATATATATATTAGGGATGCACCATTACTAGTATATGTATCGGTGCCGATACAGGGCATTTTCACGAGGTGGGGGCAGTTCACCTGAGTCAAGGGGGGAAGGGATGTGGGGGACAGTGGTCTGATTTAATGGAGGATTTGTTGGGGCTCTGGAGAAGGCCAATCAGGAGATGGCTGTGTGTCTTTTTGGGGGGGTTCACATCTACATAGTTACAGGTTGAAAAAAGACATGTCCATCGAGTTCAACCTACAATCTACATTCATCAGGGCAGATCGGTAACTGGTGAGTACCTGAGGGAAAGTACTTGTACTTGGTCCGGAAAAAATGGTATTGCTGCATACCTAGTAGTAGTGTGTGTGTGTGTGTGTGTGTGTGTGTGTGTGTATATATATATATATTATAGACCGTATATTGTAACAAGTCACTCCATATATTTAGTATATACTCTTATTATGACGTGTATATCTCTCATGTGTTACATCTCGGTCTTGCTGGCCGTCTGCTTCATTGCTCTCATTGCTCCTTCAGGGATGTGTATCCGGAACGGGACAGATAAGGACGCCGGCGATCTGTGCAAATGTTTCCGAAATTTAGGATTTGAAGTGAAGGTTTATAATGATCAGAGCTGTGAGGCGATGGAACGGTTGCTGCAGAGTGGTGAGTACACACCCCGGGTATATACTATATACAGTGATGGCTCTAGTACCAGTGCTTTGGGTTGCCTTAGTAGGGCAGAAAACAACGACCCTTAAGAACAAGTCGAATTGGTTAGTCTCTAGAGTGGAAATTGGGGGGGGTGGGGGGGGGCTGGTATTGATTGCTGTAGTAGCTGCAGCTTTAAGAGTTTAGTTCCATGGTTAGGTTTGAGGGTGCGTGTCAGGAGGGTTCATATTTAGGGGTTATGTTGGATTTTAGGCTTTAGGGAAGGATGGGTTAGATCCCAATTCCAGCCGAAGCTTTTTATCATTTTTGGGATAGAATGGGGAAGATTTAGACCCTATGGAACGTTTTTTTAAACTGATTGGAGAAGTAGAGCCGTGACACGCATGACTCTGCCCTGGAGGGGCAGCAACTTTCTTGAATCATGAGCAAGCCAGGGTTTTCTTGCTGGTGGATCCTTTTATTTAGAAATGATGACAAAAACCCAATGAGGGGGATTTATAAAAATCTGGAGCAGCTGAACATGGCAACCAATCAGCTTCTAGCTTTTCATTTTTAAAGCGTAACTGAACAAACTGAAGAAAGAAGCTGATTGGTTACTATGGGCAACTGCTCCAGATTCTGTCTGCTCCAGGTTTGATATATTCCCCAATGTGTTTCGAGGCAGAAAACATCCATTTCATTGGGGCTGTAACCAGTTCTGCTCTCCCCCTGTGTACACCCCCTATGGACCAGAGAAGTGTTACACATCCACTACGGGCCCGCTTATATGGCTATTACTTTAGATAGCAAAGACGCAGTATATATTTTTATGGGATGATTTTTGAATTGCCTGCCCAGGTATACATTGGCTGAATGCCATGATCCCGCCAGTAACACACTTCCTGTCCTAGGGTGACAACGCTCGCTCACTCGCAGCACTGTATCTATGGAGGAGCAGCATTGTCACTCTAGGACAGGACCACAGAACCCTTCCCCTCCTCTCCTCACCTACATAGCATATTGGTGTGTCTGTAGTCCTCAGACACCATGAAAAATGATGTAAAACATCAGTTTATAAACTTCAAGAAATAAGAGTAGTTCCCCTAAAACAAAGGGAATGATGGTCTCTGTGGGGTTTTTAGCTGTTTGTGTGAATATGATCAGCCAGATGTAAATATTTTATAATAAGCTGTTTAGTATTTTAATGTTATTTTTGATGCACATGGAAAATATATTCATAGACTATAAAGCAGTGGTAGGCAACCGCAAAACACTCCAGCTGTGGTGACACTACAAATGCCATCATGTCTCTGCCTCTGGGAGTCATGCCTGTGTCTCTCTGAGTCTTGCGATGCCTCATTGGACTTGTAGTCCCACCACAGCTGACGGCAGAGGTCGCATACCCCTGCTACAGATAAAATAACACGGGCCACTTAAAGGAGAACTATGGGGGTCAGGGCTTTTCCCCATAGTTCTCCTAAGGGTCACGGGAGGACACAAACTAGCGTCCTCCCGTCACCCTAAGCTCAGTATATAGAGAGCTACAGCGCTGAAGCGGATCCCGACATTACTGTCTGGATCCGCCCAGCTGCGTGACTGACAGCTGGCCCTGCCTATCCAGAGGCAGAGCCAGCTGTACCCGCCACCTCCCCCGTCCGTTCCGCCAGTCAGCGCTGGAGGATTGAACAGGGGGGGGGGGGGGGAATCCCTGCAGGGAGCCATGAGTGACAGTCACGGCTCTCCGCAGGGATAGATCGAGAAGTGAGCGAGCGACGCTATGTGTTCCCTCACTTCCCGATCTACTGAGCTGACCTGTGACAGTTTAATTGTCACAGGTCGGCTCAGATTATGAGGCTGAGTGAAAAACACTCGCCTCATAGTTCTCCTTTTAATGATCTGTGGCATATTCCTGGGCAATACAAGTTTAAACTGACATTGTATCTTCTACATCTCAAAAATGAAAGAAGATTGTATACATTGTATCAAACAGCGTCTGTGTGCGATATAAGAGCAAAAATATACAACCACCAGGAAGTATAAAGGAGCACAATGTGTGTGGCGAATAATCCGGATGGGTCTTCAGGTGTTTAATGTACATTTGTGATACAATGTTGTTTGATGAGATCTCATTCGCAGGATGTTATCACAGGGAGAGATCTTATTTTTTGATTTTTGTTGGCTCCATGGAAAACAGATTGTTAAACATTATCTGACCTGTGTGTGAAAACACCAAAAAATTCAGAACTCTCCACCCTAACCCCTAAAATCATCAAAATATGGAACAGCTAACCCATGACCATCCCAAGTAAAGTGATTTTTTTTTTTAAATGTTACAATAACTCAATGAGTGAGCTCAGTGCCAGATTTACTCTCTCTGCTACCCCAAGGCCAATGCGCCCCCCTACCCGAAGCAAAGCGGGGCTAAATGTAGAAAACTACCCTCCTGGTGTCCGGAACTTGCATGTCCTGGGCATCGGGAGATAGGAATTCCACACCCCTGCTGCCCCTCTACTCCCTGCTGCCCCTGGAGGCCGGGCCTTGGTTGACCTTGTGGGAAATCCAGCCCTGAGCGAGCTTCTAGGTAATACGTTGTACTTTCTCTGCATGTTGAGGTCCAGCAACAATATAACAAATAATGGACGCCGTCTTTCTTTCCTTCCTGTTAGCGGCGAAGTACGACCACACTGACAGTGCTTGCTTCGCCTGCATCCTCCTGAGCCACGGTGAGGAGGGTCAGATCTATGGCACGGACGGGGCGATGGCTATAAAAACTCTTACGACACTTTTCCGAGGCGATAATTGTCAGAGTCTGGTCGGAAAGCCAAAGCTCTTCTTTATCCAGGTAAGACGTGCGCTGATCTATATATAGTATTGATTTCTTGTGCTGATTTATAAAATGGTGTGCAGCCCTTTAATGTAAATCTGTCAATCACACTGCTGGAGAGCGGATGGATACAGTGTTTGTTTTTTTTTGTATTTGTTTTGCTGCCTGGGTCCCGTTGGAGAGATATCCATTCACTTCCTGTCCCCGAGACACAAAAGGAAGTGAAAAAATCTTTTCAAAGTGTGGGGGAATGTTGGTGCTGGAACAGGTGGAAGCAGTGGCGTAACAATCACCATAGCGACCCAGGCGGCCGCTATGGGGCCCAGGGCAGAGGGGGGCCCGGCCAGATGCCGTGCTGGTGGCTTTCACTGGCGGCTCTGAAGAATAATGCGCTGCTGTTCAGATCACTGACAGTAATCTGTGCAGTGCCGCGTTCCTCTCCACAGAGTCAATGAGAGCCAACGGCAGCGGTGGAGCAGGCTGGACCTGGCAGTGGAGGAGGCGGTGGGGCCCGTGGTTGGCAGCAGGGGAGGAGGCGGGGCCCGGTGACAGAAGGAGGCGGGCCTGGTGACGGAGGCGGGGCCCCATCAGCGACGGTGGAGGAAGAAGAGGCGGGCACGAAAGGAGTGCGACCAGCCCACCTGAGGGTGACCCTGCAGAGCCCACCATAGAGAGTCTATGGTGGGCTCTGCAGGGTCACCCTCAGGTGGGCTGTGTGGGATCTCAAGTGGGCTCTGCAAGGGGTATAACTAGAAATCACAGGGCCCCCATACAAAATTTTGCTATGGGGCCCTGTGATTTCTAGTTACGCCCCTGGGTGGATGGTGTCCTTATTCACCCTTCAATTCAAAAATCAAAACAAATTTTGGCTCTGGATATGTTTTAATGTTTAAAAACAAGCTTTCACTGTTGCTGAAACTTTCCCCGGGAGGAGCCAGTGCCAGTGGAGGAGAAAGTTTGCAATAGGAAGGTTTTTGTTTTTTGGTCTTGGCTTTACTTTTATTTGCATTGCCACCTCGGGATTTCCCAGTCTGTTGACAATTTGTCCTGCCAAATTTCTCTGCCCTCCCTGACGTTCGTTACACATTGTATCCCGGCAAAGTGAAATGTCATTAATAGAATGCCCGTGTTTCAGGCCTGCCGGGGATCGGAGTTTGACGATGGCATTCAGACAGATTCTGGACCGGCCAACGACTCCATGGAGACGGACGCCAATCCCAGATACAAGATCCCGGTGGAGGCCGACTTCCTTTTTGCCTATTCCACCGTACCAGGTAGACCTCATCTTAAGAATACTTCAAGTGGACGTAACTTTTATTCAATACAACTGAAGTCGACCATGATGTCCTCCACAGTAGATACCCTCCAGCAATCTGGCAGTGGTGTTCTCATATTCATGGAGTCCTATCCCCTTGTCTTTGGGTGACAACCGTACATTAGCAGGACTTGGATAAGGGTTTGGTATGAATTTTTAGAGCGAACACACTTGCACAGCATAAGGTCCCCCTAAAAATTCATACCAGACCTTTACCTAGGCATGCAGCCTGGCTGACCAGGGGGACAATGAGCATGCATCCCCTTTCTAAACCATACCAGGCCACATGCCTTTAACATGAAAAGGGTATAAATCAGGAAGGGGGCGTGCAAAGCCTCCCATCATTGCAAAGCACCTTGTCCCTATGAGAAAGACAAGGGCCTCGTTCTCACATCCCTGGACTGGTGCACGTAGGGGTCTGTGAGGGAAGGACTTATCTGAATTTTTAAAGCCCCCTGTAGAATAAGGGGGCCCCCAAATATTTACCCCCCTTGTTACTCGTTCACAAAAAAACTTTCAATTGTATATAAAAACACAGACACCATAAAAAAATTAATGTCCTCCAATACAAATCCAATGTCAATCATGCCATCCAGCCATGTCAACCCTATGTCAATGCTGCCCTGTCGCCACTCATGACGCAAAGCAGCCAGCTGGCTGCTGCATGTACACAAACTGGCTAGGGATGCTGGGTGAAGTCATTGACCAAATACATTCATGGCCATATTTGGTCAATGACAAGACTGGGGATTCCTGCCGGCATGTTCACAATCTGAAACAAGCCAGCGCCAAGCTGTCGTGTAGTGGCAGTAGTGATACCCCCATTGAATGACTCCGGCTGCTCCAGGCGGGCAAGTTGGCCAACTGGCCAAATCTGGTCAGTATGTTGGCCTGTTAGTCGAAGTGTGCACAGGCTCCGTTGCTGCTGTTATTTTTGATTCTCGGGCTGGGATCTCATGTTCAACCTGAAGATCATCCCTAATCGCCAATGCAAAATCAATAAACAAAACTTTGCTTTAGTCCTTCCCCAAGACCCAGTTATGCCCCCATTCGGTGCCACCATCTTGCTTCTGGCACACCTTAAAGGTGATGATGCCAAACTGTCAGTCACAGCAGACACACAAGGTCACCTCCCCTATACTTCTTGTGACAGAGACATGTCGCTGTTCTCTGCATACATCAGCAGCTGGAGAAGTAGTTAGTGATGGAGAGAAGAGCTTAGGTGCTCATCATAAATCACATTTTGCCAATTAGGTAACATGCAAAAATCCAGAACTTTACAATGGCCACCAGAACAGGACCAGAGGGAAAATCCCCCATGGGGACACTTGTTCTGGTGACAACTGCCAGGAGAGTAGCAGAGTTGGGCCTCCAGACCTCCTCGGCCCAGGGAAAGTTGCACCCTCTCTGTATCCACGTAGTTACACCCTAGAGCCCATGACAACTCAAAGAGAAGTATTTTTCATTCCTCTGACAATAGATACAAAGTGTAAGCTGGTTGCACTTGGATCATTGCACCTTGCCCTGCCTTAGTGAATAAGCCTGCATGTTGCAAACCTATAGAAAGAAACAACATATTGTTATATGGAAGAAGCAGAGGTAATACTGCCAACCAACACTCAATTGCCAAACTACCACATTTCTAATGACTCGTGTGTGAAATCTTGCCTCTTTAAGCATGTAGAATCAGTGAAAGGTTTGGTCCAACTACAGCTGGTGTTAAACTTACATTTGGTGAGTCACACAGTGACTTCTCTCTCTTGGGTACTCCGGGAAAAGGGTCTCCTTGGTTTCAGCCACTTGGGAATTTTGGGTAGCATCATATGTCCTGTAACATTCTTTGAAATGCAAAAATTAATCAAACAGGAAGGATGGGAAGACTTAGTAATGGCTGTGGCTGGTGGGCAGAGCTGGGAACTCAACGGAGCCTTTGAGAGTTAAAGGAGAACTATGAGGGGGAGTGCTTTTGACTCATCCTCATAGTTCTAGCCGACCTGTGACAATGAGACTGGCGGAACGGACGGGGGAGGGGGCGGGTACAGCTGGCTCTGCCTCTAGATAGGCAGAGCCAGCTGTCACTCACGCAGCTGGGCGGATTCAGACATATTTGTCGGGATCCGCTTCAGCTGCGGCGTCTTAGTATATAGGGAGCTGTAGCTCGCGGTATACTGAGCCTAGGGTGACGGGAGGACGCTAGTTTGTGTCCTCCCGTTACCCTAAGGAAAACTATGGGGGAAAGCCTTAACCCCATAGTTCTCCTTTAAGAAAAGCCATTCTGCCAAGCAATGCCAGTCATTTTTGGGTGGACTTGCTTCTTCAAAGGATCTCCCCCTTGCCCTCAGTTTGGGAAGATTGGAACTCACTGCCTACTAAATTTTGGGGAGGTTCCACTGAAAACCAACATAGTTGGGTCAGCTTATTTCTTGAAATGGCATGCATTGTAATCCGCTATTGTATCCCTCTGTGCAGGCTACTATTCCTGGAGGAACCCGGGGAGGGGTTCCTGGTTCGTGCAGGCCCTCTGCGGTGTTCTCACCCAATACGGGAAGCAGCTGGAGATTATGCAGATCCTGACTCGGGTCAACTACTTGGTGGCCACCAACTACGAATCGTGGTCAGATGACCCGCGCTTCAGCGAGAAGAAGCAGATTCCCTGTGTGGTCTCTATGCTAACCAAGGAACTGTATTTCTAGACATTTTACACTGTGGATCCTCCAAGTTCCGTCATTATCAGGGAGTAACGAGGCAAGCTGATCTCTTTTTAAAGTAGCACAATAGGATTTATTAAACAAGGGAGCGCAAGGAGCATTGATAATGTGCGAGGTGTAGTAGCCCATAAAGAGGTGTAATCACCCATACAATATCCTAGTCATGCTTACACTGTAGGAGCCCATGCAGAGGTGTAGGAGCCCATGCAGAGGTGTAGGAGCCCATGCAGAGGAGTAGGAGCCCATGCAGAGGTGTAGGAGCCTATAAAGAAGCTCAATCATCCATACAGAGGCATAGTAACCCATACAGGGACATAATAGTCCATACACAGATGTAGTTGCCCAAACAGAAGCATAGTAGCCCATTGAGTTGCTCATGCACAGGTGTAACCACCTTGGGGCTTGGTGTAAAACCTAATCTGAGCACACCAAGTTTTGTACTAAATGCTTTGACTGTACCATTCAGTCCTCGAGGTGTAATGTGTATCTGTGGATGCTTCCATCTCATCTTTCCAGATGAAACCCAATCTGGTCAATAAACCCATCTACCTAAGAAAATAGGAAGTTGTCTAAGTTTGAAAGCTTTGCCCTATCACAGTCCCCACCAATGTTCTTCTGATGAGGAGTTCTGCAATTTCCTTTTAGATTTTGTATCGCTTATGGAAAGCTGCTCTTTGACAAAAGTATACAATAGTCTACCAATGTCCAGGAGCTATGGTACCAGGAGGAGATATGTCCTCATTCAGGTTCATCTTGGGGATCCTCTCTTTGCCATCTGCTGCGTTGGGATCTCTTGGCACAGCATTCTCCGTTGCCACCACTGCCATCTTCTCCAGTACTTCTTTTGGGCTTTGGTGTCTTCTCATTTTAGACAAAGGGTGCTCACTAATGACGTCACTCCTGTGCATGCTCGCTGGAGCCACGTCCTCCGGGCACTCGGCTTCATTCTGAGCATCTTACAGTTGCAAGAAATGAGCCATTTGGCAGAAGAGACATTAAAGGTGATAGAAAAGACAGAATGGTTCTAAAGCAGTGGTTCTCAACCGGTGTAACCTCGGGACCCACATTTGTCCTCGGTCATTAAGTTGCGACCCAAGTTGCAATGCAATGGAACGCACGGCATTGCGGTACGGCGCTTTCCGATGTGGGCGATAGAACTGCGGCTGGGAGAGGCAATTGGAGTGCCATTCAAATGAATGGCAATGTACCTCGCACACCAGAACACGCCGTATGGGGTGATTGCGTGGTACAGTGCATTTATTGCACGGGACTGTGCGATTAACGCACTGTACTAGTGTGCATGGGCCCTCAAAAACACTGACAGACACAATCTCACACATACACTCCAAATTTTTTTTAAACTTTTTTAAAATCCACCCTACCTTATGAGAACTGGAGTGGATCCTCAGCCTGGGGTCCAGTATGGGCTCCTGTGCTGTGATGGAGCTCCATCCAAATGTGCATTGCTTGTACAGCTCCCTTGCCCACTCTGTAGAGGTGCCAGGAGCCAGAATGTGACGTCACTCCGGTCCAGGCACCTCTACAGGGCATGCAAGGGAGCTGTAAGCAATGCACTTGTGGATGGAGCTCCCTCACGGCCATAACCCCAGCCCACCCCACCTCACGCTGATACTGGGCAGCGGGCAGCATATTGCTGAATGGCTGCACGGCGTGAGAACTGACAGCGCTGCGCTAGGGGGAAGGCTTAGGAGCCTCTCACCTAGAAAAGTGGAAGGCATGCGGCGACTCTCTGAACATGGGGTCGCGACCCGCTTTTGGGTCAGGACCCACCAGTTGAGAACCAAGGCTCTAAAGTATACCCGGAACGTTGTCATGGCAAACTCCCAGAAAAGGAAGTATGTGTCGGTAAATAATGAAGGTAGCATTGTTTGGCAGAAGAGACACCACGGGAGTTTTTTGGCAGAAAAGAAATACAATGTTTCCTCTACTCTACTCTTCTTCTTTATTTAACGACACTTAGCGTCTCTTCTGGGAATCCTCCTGGGGGAAAGTCTCAGAAGACCAAATAAGGCTAAAGAAAAGGAAGAGAAGAAAAGGAAACCATTCAGTCCAGGATATAGGACAACTCCGCTGCTAAACAGAAGGGGACTGGAAGAGTTGGGCCCCTGGATCTTCTAGGCAGATACGAGGTGAAAGTCGGTTGCACTTGGATTATTGCACTTTGTATATTGTCTTTGCTCCTCGCGCTGCCTTAGTGAATAAGCCGGTATGTGACGGCTAAACAAAGAAGCAAAATAGTGTTCTATGTTCATGCTAGAAGAGGTAATACTGCCAACCAACACTCCATTGCCAAACCACAACATTTCTTATGACTCGTGGGTGAAATCTTGTCTCATTACCCATGTAGGATTACTTAAAGGGTTAGTCCACCTAGAGGTGGCATTTGTTGAGTCAAACAATGGCCTCTCATATCTCTTGGATTCTCTGGGAAAAGGAGCTCCCTGGCTTGGTTTCAGCCACTTGAGAGTTTTGGGTATCATGTCTTGTTACATTCTGTGAAATATAGTGGGAACACCTTGCAAAGGCTGCAGCAGTAGGGGGTTGGAGATGGGAACTCAACATAGCCTCTGAGAGTTGAGAGAAGCCGCTCTGCCAGACAATGTCAATCATTTTTTGGGTGGACTACGGAAAATTGTATACTTACCTATCAGTAATTTTCCTTTCCTGACGCCAATCCATGGCAGCATACAATGGGTGGGGGGCGGAGCCATACCCATTGTATGCTGCCATGGATTGGCGTCAGGAATACGGAAAATTGTATACTTACCTATCGGTAATTTTCCTTTCCTGACGCCAATACATGACAGCATACAATGGGTATGGCTCCGCCCCCACCCATTGTATGCTGCCATGGATTGGCGTCAGGAATACTCCCTTAAAAAGTACCCCAGAAAATCCTCTATCCGCACAGTCACAATGGCCGCTGGAAGTAACTTTGTAACTTCCTTGCAGCCGGTCTGTGATTCCTTCAGTGTTTCCCCGATAAATATATGGCGGCCCCATGTTGAAGTGTGAGACTCTTTTTCCTGAGCCCGCAGGTACTTGTCTATGCAGTGTGATCTCTGCCCCTTACAGCATGGGTGAAACTCTGTATCCTGCCTAAATAACTTCACTGGCAGCTGAAACACGACACTGCCAGAGCTGCCAGGAACTTGCCCACTGGCTCCACTTTTATTTCAGCAGGTAGTGCAGGCGCTATCACTGTGAGCCCAGTCTTAAGTTGCATCTGTTGTGTGTGTGTGCGTGTGCAGTGCAGTATGGAACAAAAAAATATACGGGTCATACACGGCAGGGAACATACTCAATGGAGGGCAGGAATTTCACCCAATCAGTGTCCACTTTTCAACCCTCAAACCTGTAAGTTGGTAAGAGGTCATTTCTGATTTGGTTGCTTATGCCCATTATTACGCAATGATGCTTGTATAGAGATCTATTGCCAGGGGAGTCACTCCAACCAAAACTGATATTTAATGACATATGAATGCTGGAGATTTAAAGGGCAACTCCCTACACCCCCCTCCCCCATTCCCCATGTAATGGATTTCCCATAAATAGATCTTCACTGTGCAACCTTACCTGGTGCAATTGTTTCCAAACATGGCTGAGTAGGGTTGCCACCTGTCCAGGATTGAATGCTCTGTTCGGGTTTCATGGCAGCAGAAACCCGGGCACAAGATGTCAGGCAGACAGGGGCAACCAAAATTAAGAAAGGGGCTACTGGCCCCCCCACTGAAAATAGTCTCAACTGTGATATTTACATATGAATGGGTGGCGCCATTTACATATGAATAAGCCGCAACTCCTTCCCTCCAAAAATGTCTGCGCGTCGCTTGAGTGTTCGGGTTTCGGCTTGAAGAAAAGGTGGCAACCCTATGGCCGAGTGATGTGCCATTCATTCCTATGGATGGGTCTGTGTTCCTAGCAGCGCAGCACACAGACCTGGTGAGGGGGGTGGAGCAGAGGGAGGGGGTGTATGTTGGAATGTGAAAAACCTCCCATGTGTTATAAAGCAGGAAGCTAACATAAAGATTTTGGCAAAATGTATTTCCTATAAAAATGTGAATAAACTGAAGATCAATAAACATGTCAATCACTTTTACAACAACTCCGCTTTTGTTTGTAACATTTTATATTGTCACATGTCATATTTGTCATTTTGTATCTAAAGAAATTTTTTTTGGGGGGGGGGGGTGTATTGGTGTGCCCCAATAACACATATGGCAACTAAAATAAAATTGTAAGTTTTAACCATTTCCTACTCTTCCCAAAACTAAGTGTTGGCTTTAGATACTTTAATATTATTCTACGGCCTCTCCATCCCATTCTGATGCCGCCTCCGAGTCTCTATAACTGCTAACAAATAACAACATTGGATTTCTCTTCCTAGATACAAGTGTAATTGTCTTCAGTTTGCACACAGTTTTCCCAAGAATCCTCATCCCCCTGCTCATGCAACTGCCCACCCGCTGCCTCTCCCCCAGAAATCTGCACAGAGCCTAAAGCTGAACTCCTGTGCGAGAAAGCTTTATAGTACCCCTCAGTGACGACACCCCTGTGTGACCACACCCCTGTGTGACCACACCCCTCAGTGACCACACCCCTCAGTGACCACACCCCCTCAGTGACCACACCCCCTCAGTGACCACATCCCTTAGTGACCACATCCCTTAGTGACCACAGCCCTCAGTAACCCCACCCCTGCGTGACCATACCCCTCAGTGACCATACCCCTCAGTGACCATACCCCTCAGTGACCAAATCCCTCAGTGACCACATGCCCACCCGCTGCCTCTCCCCCAGAAATCTGCACAGAGCCTAAAGCTGAACTCCTGTGCGAGAAAGCTTTATAGTACCCCTCAGTGACGACACCCCTGTGTGACCACACCCCTGTGTGACCACACCCCTCAGTGACCACACCCCTCAGTGACCACACCCCCTCAGTGACCACACCCCCTCAGTGACCACATCCCTTAGTGACCACATCCCTTAGTGACCACAGCCCTCAGTAACCCCACCCCTGCGTGACCATACCCCTCAGTGACCATACCCCTCAGTGACCATGCCCCTCAGTGACCAAATCCCTCAGTGACCACACCCCTCAGTGACCACACCC